TTCTTGAATAAATAAGTTATAGACTACTTTATGATAAGTATATGAGAGTATATCTAGGCCTGGGATATATTTAATATAATCTGGTATATAGTATATACATACATGTACCAAAGCTAGAGTCCAATGTATAAAAGAATACAATTTGTGTTTATATAGATTGGGACAAATGAAGAGATTGAAAAAGTGAAACATGAATATGTATTATTGTACTTACCTCGACCGACCTAAAAGATTAAATGACTATAGGTAGTAGATACATGTCCTTTTATATATCAGCGAGAGAGAGAAATAGAGAAAGAGAGAGAAAGAAAGAAGAAAAATTCGAAAAGATATTTCTCTCTTTCATATTCTAGAATCTGACTAGTTATGTAACAATTCAGACCACTGACTAACAGAAAGTGAAAATGAATAAAAAAGAATAGTTCAATGGTCGTTCTTTATACTTCTCTGTTTAACTGAATTACATAACTCTTCCTATCCAGAACATTCTAGCACTGGATTTGTTTGCGTAATCATTTTCTTCATAAATAGACGCCAAGAAATAATCAATATTGTTTCGTTTACTATGTATCTGGTATATTAACCGATATTGAAATGCTCGTCTCAAATCGAAGAACACTTTTTAGTAGATAATTTCGAGATAATATCGAAATGTATTAGTAGTTATCTGATCGACAGTATACATAAGACGATGTTGAAAACGTTCGTCTCAAGTCGAAGAACTTTTTTTAGTACATAATTTCGAGATAATATGGTAATATAGTAGTAGTTATGTAATCGATAGTATACACGACGATATTCAAAAACGTTCGTCTCAAATCGAAGAACGTTTTTTTCGGTAGATAACATAAATATAATATCCAAATATATTAGTAGTTATGTAATTGACAGAATACAATACGATGTTGAAAACGTTCGTCTCAAATCGAAGAACGTTTTCCAGTATATAATATTAATTTAATATGGAAATATATTCGTTGTAATATAATCGACAATATGCAAGACGTAATTAAAACGTTCGTCTCAAATCGAAGAACGTTTTTCACTACTTTATTTTGAGATAATAACCAAATATATTAATGGTAATATAATCGACAGTATACGTAGCGACATTAAAACGTTCGTCTCAAATCGAAGAACGTTTTTTTGGTAGAAAACATCGATAGAATAACGAAATATATTAATAGTAATATGCCCGATAATATATACGACGAGATTGAAAACGTTCGTCTCAAATCGAAGAACGTTTTTTAGCGCATAATTTCGAAAAAAAGAATAGATGCATCCATATTTCTCTGGTAGAAATCAATCTGATAGTCGCAACATATGCAGGGTTTTATGGCGTCGACGCGTGTTGGATCTTTTTGAAAATAGTACTCTTCACGGCTTCGAATTGAAATATGTATATAAGTATCTAGAATAGAAAATAGATGTTAAATATTAACCTATATGAAACACAACTAAAGTATGTCAAATAAGTATCTTTTGTGTAAACTTGAATAGAGGAATAATATTCATTCGTAAATAAATAAGTGATATGAAATACCTTATAAGAAGTATATTAGATTATTATTCAGAGATAGGATATATTCCACATTATCTACTATATAGTGCATATGTATATAGCAAAGGTATAGTCCGATGGATAAAAAACTTACAAATTGAATGTTTGTATACATTCGAAGCAATGAAGCGATTGAAAAAGTGGAACACTAATATGGAATATTGTAGTTAACACGACCAACCTAAAAGATTAAATGACTGTTGGTAGTACGTACACGTCCTTTTATATATGAATAAGTGAGAGAGAAAAAGAAAGAAGAAAAACTTCGAAAAGATATTTTTCTTTTTCATATTCTCGAATTTCAATGGTTACTCTATGATTGAGATCATTGACTGGTCGAATGTGAAAAAGAAAGAAAGAATAGTTCGACGGTCAATATTTATACTCTTTTTTAATCTCAAGTTTATTAGTCTTCACGCTTAGAATGTTCTAGTAATGGAGTTTTTTTTTACAATTGGTTTCTTCTTAAACAGAAATAAAGAATTATACAACGTTGTTCTGGACTATGGGACGGGTATATTAGACGATATTCAAACATTCGTTTCAAGTCAAAGAACATTTGCTAATTACATAATTTAGAAAAAAATCTCGAAATACATAAATAGACATGTAGTCAATAGTATACAAGACCATATTGAAACGTTCGTCTCAAGTCGAAGAACGTCTCTTAAGTTATATATCAAAAGAAAACGATAGTGTAAAGTTACATAATACAATTTTAAACACACAAAAAAAAACTATATGAGCTCGCTTTATTAAACAGAAGAATACAAGAAATTCATCAATTCGTATGACAACAAATATTCAATATCAATTAATAGGCTGAATAAATCTTTATTTTTGTTTAGTGCCAATACGTATTCCGATTAGAAAAAAATCAAAAGAAAAATAAACCAAACGGAGAATAGTAATAGATGACTTATACGATAACTTGTGCCACTCGAGTGTAATAGTCTGCGTTGCTTTTTCCATTTGATTACTGTATCGTAATCAGTAATGTGAACAAATAATTGAACACTTTTTTTTTCAAATACGTAAGATTGGTTTTGAAATTAATGTATTGAATTTGAAAAGTCGAAATAAATTAAAAATAATGAATGATTAACACACAATAATGATCATTAGGGTGTAGTGTAATCGACGAAATAATATCTATCGAATAGACAATAAGAAATAAAAACGAAACTTTGACGTTTGAATATCGACGAGTCGATATTCTCCATGTCAATGTCTATATGGTAGGCCAGTCTGATACGAAGAAAGAAAAAAAGCAGTCATGAATAGTACTAAAGAATGAGTTACTTACCAGTCAAGTTGAACACGAAAGAAATGAATAAACGTCCGTCTATGCAACAGTATTTATACACATATACGGTGACGCAAGAGAATGATACAACAGAATAATGTAAGAGAATTATACAATGTATTTTATTTCGTTCTGTTCAATATGTCTTATACATGATTCTTCGTCCGTCGTAACGATAACAGAACAGGAAAAAAAGAACATATAAATATATAATCATTGGCAGCATGCCAACAAAGGCGTATGTAAGGACGTACTTATGAAACATATATAATGTTGTTCATAAATATTACGTGATCACCTTCTCAAAGATTGCCATGAGTGAAAAAATATAGATAACCAATACCACGACCGTTTTTTATCCCGTTCAGAGGCTTCATCAGATAACTTCAAGACATGTTAATCGATTACGAAACTCAATTCGAATATCTTTTACATAGTACTATGAAAGCAAGTTTCTGAGGATGTGGAGACTTGTACATGTTCATAGTAATAATAACAATAAAGCGATATTGATCCGTAAATCAAATAGAAACAGATCAATCTATATCTCTCAGATACAGATTAATCTGCTAGTCTCAACTCTTGCTTTTCAGCAACCAATGAAGTCGTATTTAATTTGACAAATTGAATAGCTGTGCTTTATGAAATAATAAAAAGAGAATACAGAGTTTAATTTCGCCGACGCGTTTCATGTTTATTTTATTTAAAAATTTGAAACACTCATCAGGGCTCTGAATTACAATTTTTAAAAAGTAAACAATAATTAAAATTAAACAATAAAAGAATAAAATAAAAGAATAAACAACAACTAAAATTAAAAATGAATAGCAAAATTTAAAAATTAGGATAATTTGAGAGAAAGAGAAAGAGAAAAGCAAATAGAAATACAGATTAAAATGAAAATTAAGACAAAAAAACGAAAATCAACTAAAGACTTTAATAAACATCACATGCTTCCATATTAATAATATCTTCATTTTGAACAAAACATCATCGACCATTAATATTCATATTTGGATTACATTTCATTTAAAATTTCACGATAGACGTCTTGAAAATTAATCCATGGTAAACATTCATGTTCCAATTTTACATATGAATGTTTACCTTGATAATGAAGAATTTCATCTTCAGTTGTACTTCATTAAAGATATACTAATATCACTGATTTGTCTCTAAAGATATAGACAAAAAGGAGATGATATACTTTGTATAAATTATGTATTAGTGTATCATTCTTCAAATGTTTAGTTGCCGGGGGATAATTTCCCACACGAATATTTAATAATTTCTATAAATATAAATATATAAGAGAATTTAATTAATTAATGTGTCATATTTTAATTATAATAGAAATTGATCAAGACGTAGTTAAGAATTAACGATATCTTACTGTACAATGAGAAATAAACATATATTAATTCAATATGTCACTTAAATAAAATTTGTTAATCGTCTCTGTAAATTTTTAACATAACGAGTACCAAGTCCAGGTAGAATTTAATTAACGGAAGAAAATGTAAGGATGACACTGAAGAGAAAGTTACTTACCAGTGAAGTTGTATACAAATGAAATGAGTAAAATGCGTATGTGCAACAGTATATATAGACTGATGAAAGAGAGAGAGAGAGAGATAGAATATTCTTTTTTCTCCTTTCATTCACTTTATCTTATACATATCCTTTGCCTTTCGTAACGAGAAAAGAATACGAAAAACAATATATATGTATAAAATCATTGGCTGAATGATTTTCGTCCAATCCTGTATATGTAGAAGAAATACAATGCTTCCTTTGTTTTCATATCGATGGCCGTTAAATAACCTTTATTTAATTGAAAACAAAGAATATATTGTAATTTTATCTAGGTGTATCATTTTAGTAGTAGAAAATCGAATATATTTTAATTCCATGTCACTTATATCTTGAAGAAACTTCAAAAATAATAGATAGATTATAAATATAGCAAAATTATATAATAATCTTTCTCTGGTATTTGCTATTCGTAAATAAAATTGAATGAGTAACATATTTGACAGTTTTTATATGCAACAAGCTTTTCATATCTTTTTTCAATAATAGTACATTTCGAAGCTTGAGATTTATGAATATTTACAATAGAAAATAAAAAAGAAATTCATAGATTAAAATGAAAAACCCAATACTCTAGTAAAACATATATAGAGTAACTCAAGAACTACGATTAATTTATTGAATAAAATGATTTCTACGAAATATCTAAATGAATAATTGACAAAAAAAGAAAAACAATAGAATGATCACTACATGAAACTAATTTCTATGAATAAACTATATGTCTTTTTTTATTCGAGCCACAAACATATTGGATGAATAACAATGTTTGGTATTGAGTTTAATTTTTAAGTCAAATTTTTTAAATATCAGATCTTCAATAATTATACTCGACCAAAGTTCATAGAATTTTTTATTGAATTGACATCGAGAACCCCAGTCAAATAAATAATGTAATCGAATTAATTTATTACTTTTTTGTAACCGTCGTTCTTCTTCGAGTTCTCGTTTTTCTTCATCAACTAGACGAAATAATGCACGACGAAGTATTCTATACGAATGACGATTAAGATCTTTAATTTGATATTCACTACGAAAAAATCTTGAATAGAATCGTCGAAGATTATATTCGACAAAGTCCAATGAATAACCATTTGTTAGAAATGTCATTTCGATGTACCGTCTTTCTTCTTCAAAATCTTCATATGAACTACAATATTGACCAGCACGTATAAGACTATAACGAAACCATTGTCGATGTCGTAATCGTGGGTAATTCTTAACATAAGGTAATAGAAATGGTTGTTGTTGTTGTTGTTGTTGTTGATTATGAGAGACACGTGTTTCAAGAAAGCCTCTTTTATTTTCAATAATAGCATTAAGAAATTCGACACGATTATCAGTATATGTTGTTAGTTTAATATCAGAATCAAAATTTTGTTGAAGTTCATCGAATAATGCTTCTAGATATTCAGTTGAAGCATTCCAAGTGAAAAAACCCATATTATGATAACGACCATAGAATGAATCTTTCAAACGTATTTGCCGGAGTAAAGACAGTTGCCAATCATGCAAATAAATATTACATAATAGATCTGTTATTGGTAAATTTAATGGACATCCTTTTGTAACTTGATAGACTTTTTTCTTAAATGTAAAGTATATATTCTTTAAGACAAGTGTCATCAATTCTTCAATAGCTTCATTTGATAATTTGTGAAATCGATTATCAACTAATGGACTAGCTAAAAAAGTACCAAATGCCCGAAGTAATGAAGAATGTGATACATTCATATGCAGATTATGAATTTTAAATGTTACAAATATAGTTTGTGGCTTCAGAAGAAATTGTTGTTGTGTACAGTAATAATCCAATTTTTGCATGAAATCTCCACCATTAAGAAAAGTAGTTGAACGTGAATAATTTTCAAATAATGGACGTAGAATTTCATCAAGATAACTAGCCAATGCATATATGAGACTATATTTACAAGATGAAATTCTTGGTTCAACTAATAGATTATCATCTTGATCTTTTCCTGGTAAGAAATACATATAGGGTAGTTTAACATTTCGTTTCTTACTAATACTAAACTTCATTTTATAATCATTATTAATTAACTTTCTTTGATAAAGTTTATCTAATTCTATATCAAAGGATTGAATAACTTTCTTCAATTGCTGTTCTTCTGTATTATTTTCGTCAATTATAGCAATAAATTTATAAGAACTTGAATTTTCAATATAATCATTTGATTTTTGTTGAAATTCATCCAACTGTCCAAGATAATATGTATTCTTATCATCGACTGTTCGTCTAAGTATAAGACGATCTTTATTTAAATGATAACGAATCGATTGAATAATTT